AATCTTCTGGAACTGTGTATATGAGTGTATATATGTTGGTAGTATTCAGTGAATACTTTAAAATGTACAAAACCTACATCCATACCTGTGCATGAGCTGTATTATTCACAGCAACAAAGCTCAGTCAAATGCAATTCCAAGTAGGCTGTTATGGTGTTCAAAGAGTGATGAAGTTTATCTTTTCACTGTTAATGTCAGTGCCTACCTGACTTTTCAGTGAATTTTGTTTGTTAGAATTTACATATTGCATGTTCTGGTTACACGATCACTCTTTAACTGTGTTCAATAACTTTTGCACTCAGCTTTTCTGCTGAAGTACAGCATGTTCAAATGAAATGGCTCACCTGTTTAGTAGTACACATAAAGAAATAAACCACTTTTAATGATCTATAAAACTTAAATGTCTAGAGTCCTAATTTCACCAGACAAAACAAATACTCATGGTCTAACATGTTAAGAGTACGTACTTCAGAAAAAATTAACTTAGTGAACCTATTTTGTTTCTCTGCAAGAATTATTTTGCCCTACAGGCCAAAGTTCCTAAACCCTGATTGGAACTGTGAACTGCAAGCAATCTGAAAAGAAAGCTGGCAGTGGCAGATTGTGCTCTGACTAGCTTCTGACATGCTCAAATTATGTAGTTGATGTAGGTTATGATGGGATTAATTATTCTGCAATGACTATTGTCATCCTACTTCTATGAGGTGTCCGGTGATAGGATGCAAGGGAATGGCTTTACGTTGCATCAGGTGGGATATTAGGAAAAAGTTACTCACTGTGAGGGTGGTCAAGCACTACAACAAACTCCCTGGGGAAGTGGTCATGCCCCCGAGCCTGTGGGTGTTCAAAAATTGTTAGGACAATGCTCTCGAGACATGGTTTAGGTTGCCTCGTGTGAAGTCAAGAGTTAGACTTGATCCTTGTTGGTCCTTTCCAACACAGGATATTTAATGATGATTTGCATAACTTGTCTTAAGTGTGAAGTAGTACTTAATATTTCAGAGATATTTTCATGCTTGTTTTTGTTGTTGTTTTTTTTTTTTTTTTTACTCTAGCACCAGGTTATCTTTCTGCCTGGGGTTTTGGCCTGCACTTCTGCTCTTACATACTGTTTTCTTCTGGGCAGCCAGCTTCTACCCTGTCCCTGTGTAGGCAGTAGTAGTTTGGGAGTGTTGTCAAAGTAAATGGGGTACTTGTCATCTGACAAAACCAGCTGCTGGTTGTGGGACAGCATGAACTTGGTTTTCTTGACATACAAAAGGTCAGGGCTAATACAGCAAAATTCTGATTCGTTCTCTTAGGAAGCTGTGTGCAAGCTAAGGTGAGCTGACGGATAGACTCAATCTGATAAGTAAATTGCATTAAAATGGTCACCGTGGCATCTTGGGATCATAGCCATGAAATCAGATGTTTTAAAAAGCAGCTTCAGTGCATTTGGTGTTTGAATAACTCCATATAGCAGCAGTGGTTGTGTCTGGTTCATTGCAAATGCAAGCTACTGTTACAGCTGTGGGGGGTTTGGAAGGCCAACAAAAACAGGGACATCTGCATAAAGTATGTGCTTCCCCCTGTGCAACGTGTGCTTGCCGAGGTCTTTGTGCCGACAGACAGAGGTAAGCTGCTAAATCTGGTGAGGAAAATAAACCTCGTGGTCTTTCCTCTGAAGTTGCAAGAGATGCCCATCTCGGTGGTGGTCGCATGGTATGTACGAGGCGGTGTGTAAGGCTTTATGGCCTCCCGCGCTGGCGCGGGGCTCTCCCAGGGCCACGCACACACCAGGAAGTGCCACCGGTAACAATCCTGGTGGGGGGCGCTTTTCCCCAGGGCTTCAGCTCCAGAGTCCTGCCTGTTGTCTCCTCGTGTCCCACCGGTGGTCCTTAAAAGTCTCTCCGCCCGCCCACCCGTCCCCTCTAAGTGCCGCCTTTGTGCCCTTCCCCTCCTTCTCTGCCGGGGCGGGTCC